CAGTTCTGGTGTGACCTGTTCAAACAATGTGCGGCCAGTTCAGCACAGAACTTGCAGTATCTCAGCCATATACTGAGAAGGCATTGATCACTGGAAAAGACAACGATGCTAGAAAAGGCAGAGGGGAGAAGAAGGAGAGTAGGACTGCAAGCAAAATGGATGGACTCAATTAGGTGGGACGCAGGCATGGGCTTGCAGAAACTGAACAGAGAAGTGGAGGATGGGGGTTCTTGGAGGTGTCTTGCCCACAGGGTCATCATGGGTTGAGGTCGACTGGAGAGCAGATAACAACAACAAACCCTTAACATGGGTTAAATAAATTTACCTCTGCAGGGATGCCAGGCGCTATTTACAATGCATCCTGCTGTGCTCCCTTCCTTCATCTATTGCTCTGAGGTCAGAATGATGCTCCCAAGCATGTAATCAATGCTGAACATCTTGTTTTTGGTTTCAGGAGGAGTGACCTGTGTCACTAGTGGTGGCAACAGGCAGCCCAGTGGGGCATGCATGCAAACAGCTGGTCCCTGTTGCTCCAGAGTGTCCAGCTAATGGAGGGATGTCAGGGCAGCTTTGGGGCCAGAATACTCTGGTCCATACAGACATCAGCCAAGAGGGATAATAGTGTCCCCAGCCCAGGTGTCTCTCGTAGGAGAGAGTGACTGCTGGTGAGGTGGCAACAGCCAAAAGGACACACTTTGATGGCAGAGCTCTCCCCAAGAGGAGGCCGCCACTGCCACAGTGAAGACAGGAGTGGTGCATTTGTAGGACAACCCAACCAGGTGTCACCCCTATTCTGGAGTGTCACCCGTTGCAGGCTGCACCCCCCCCCAACAAACACACACACACACCTCTGGTGATGCTACAGATTAGGCTCTGTTATCTTCCTTTCTTGCTTTCTTTTTCTTCTTCAGCCGCCTACCCCAAAAGCATTCTAGACAGATAGCATTGTCTGGTTCAGTCAGGGTTAATTAAGCAACTGCCCACGGTTGTAAAGAAAAAAGAGAACTGACCCAGACTGAACCTTCCCATTTGTGTTTCTCTCCATTTCCCATCTGCTCTTTGATGAGGGAAGACATGACGAAACATGGCTCCTTCCCATCCTTTTCTCTGTTAAATTAATTTAGAAAGGGTCATAGAATCTTAGAGTTGGAAGAGACCCCAGGGGCCATCCATTCTAACCCCCTGCCAGGCAGGAAGACACAAGCAAAGAACTCGTCACAGATGGACATCCAGCCTCAGTTTTAAAACCTTCAAAGAAAGAGACTCCACCACTGTCTGAGGCTGTGTCTTCCACTATCAAACACCTCTTACCATTGGGAAGCTCTTCCTAAGGTTTAGGTGGAATTTCTTTTCCTAAAGTTTGACTCCATTGCTTCATGTCCTAGTCTCAGGAGCAGCAGAAAACAAGGTATCTAAAACCACAATATGACATCCCTTCAGATATTTAAACCTGGCTATCATGTCCCCTCTTAACCTTCTCTTCCCCAGGCTAAACATACTCAGATCTCTAAGACACTCTTCATAGAGCCTGGTGATTTCCAGACTTTTCACCATTTTGGCGACCCTCCTCTGGACATGCTCTAGTTTGCCAATATCCCTTTTGAACTGTGGTGCCCAGAAATGGACACAATATTCCAGAAATGGACACAATATTCTCACCAAAGCAGAATAGAGTGTGACTATTACTATCCTCGATCCAGACATACACCCCTATTGACGCAGCCTAGGATCACATTGACTTTTTTTAGCTGCTGTATCACTCTTGACTCACACTCAGCTTGCGATCTACTAAGATTTCCAAATCTCTTTCACATGTCCTGTTGTCACGCCAGGTGGCCCTCATCCTATATCTGTTCATTACATTTTTACTGTCCAAGTGTAGTATCCCACATTTCTTCCCGTTGAAATGCATTTTGCTAGTTTTGGCCCAGCTCTCCAGTTTGTTAAGCTCATTTTGAATTCTGATCCCGTCCTCTGGGTTATTAGCTACCTTAATAAGTGCTCCTGCTGTTGCGGATTCTAAACAATTTTTTTCCTGCCTGACATTTGGTTCTATCACACTCACCATCCCAAGATGGACACCTCCCCTGTGATTGAAGTAAATGCTACTGAAGGTCTTTCATGCCAATAACAGTCTTTCACCATCTTGCTCCTCAAACACTTTGGAGGCTGGTAAGGTGGAGTATAAATAAGCTGGCTGGACCATCAGTAGAAATGCTTTAAGCATCCTCAGTCCAGCTTCAGGGCAGGAGCTGGGGCAAGCCATTTTCTCTGGGGCTTATCACAGCTTTCATGAATCTACCAAGGCTGATGGAGTTTGATGCCATGCCTGCCTGTCTGCCTGGTGCTTGGAGCATAATGCAGAAAAGCACTCTGGCCTCAGGCTGTAATTCTGCCAAGCGCATCAGCAGTATAATATGAGAAAAGGGTCCAGTTGAGGAGGTATCTCCAGTCCAAAAAGGCCATTCCTGCATTTTGACAATAAAATTGCAGGTTGCAATGGCAGATCCCCGTATATTACAGCAGTGGCATCACTGCGGTCAGTGGTATCGCTGAAGTTGCTGTCACCCAATGTGGGTGCCCAGAAAGGGCCTTGGGGGGCAGTGGCAGACTTCCTTGCCTGCCCTCCCTCCCTCCCTCTTACCACCTCACTCAACTGCCCCCAGCCAGCTGGCCCCCACACAACCAGGGTGCTGCTGGGGGGCATTGCTGTTGTCTTATTTTGCCCTTGAAAAGCTAGCCAGACTCCCAGCCCAAAGCTTCAGTGTCCTAAGCAGGGAAAGAGAGAGAGAGAGAGAGAGAGTTACTGCCGATGCAGACGGCCCCTAAGGGGTGGCTCTGTGCTGCTCCTGGGAGCACTGGATTGGGGCCATGGCAACCACACACCACGGCCCTGATCCTCCTTGTTGCCACTGCAAAAAGAGCTGGCAAATGCCGCTCCTTTTTAGGGTGGCAGAAAGCTGACCTTAGAGCTGCTGCTGTGGCTCTTTGGTGCCCCTTTGGCACAGTGTGCATGCACGCTGTGCCAACGGGGCGCCCTGATGCCGCGCGCTGTGCAGTCAGGCGCATGGCATGATGGCGGCATTGGGGCAGCCAGCATGCAGTCACGCTGCCCCAACTCCATCCCCAGGCCAGCCCTTTAGGCCGGTCTGTATCAGCCCTAGTTCAGGCTCACCAAGGCACCTGTAGAAAAGCAGGTGCTCTAATCCAGGCCAGGTCCTTTATGAATTAGTAGTCAGCCCAGTAAAGCAGTCCAAAAGGTAATCTAAAAGAATACTTAGAAATAGGAGAGAAAACAAACTAATAGGTATACTACAAATCACTAAGTACCATTACAATTGGATACAACACAACCCATTTCTAAGTAGTTACAGTGTAAGCCTCCTGTTGTGTTGGGTTCTTGCAATCTGAAAGAATAGTTAGAGTCCAAGCGGAGTTCTATGCAATGGGCAATGAATCAGGGACCGATGCACCAGCATGGCTTTCTCCCAAGGAAGATAGATGGTTGTCTGCTATATTGGACTGAGAGAGGTGCTGGGATATTTATAGCCCATTTGGAGCTCTCAGGTGCTCCCTATTAGCAGCCTGCTTCTTACTTAAATGCTCAGAGTGCCAGCATCTTTCCTGGTATCTCTCTGAGAGGGTAGGTACTGGTAAGTCTGTCTCTTTGTCTGAGGATTGTGGCTGTCGTGAACTTTGCTCTTGTGGCTACTGGGAACTCGGCCCCTGTGCTGGGTGCAGGCTCTCCTCCTGGGGCTACTGGAGTTGCTGCAGGCTTGGCAGGAGTTCTCAGCCTCCCCATCAGAGCCTTCAGACTCAAAGGACCTACTTGGATTCTGGAGACAGGGCTTGACAGCTGTGGCTCCCAGATGGCCCCATCAGACCTAAAGGAAGGCATTGCACCCCTCCTCAGCAGCAGCTGCTGCAGGTTGGTGGTACTACAACCATCAGATGGCCCATTTGGGGTCTGATGTACTGCTGGGTGAGTGAGAAAAGGAGATGATGTCCTTTCTCGCTCACCCGGCAACCACACCAGTCCCACCAGGTGTATCGCCCCACTAGATGTACACCCTGTCTGGGGTGTCATCCGGTGCGGTCCATACCTCCCCACACACCACTAGTGATACCCTTGTGTTATGGATCAGAGAGGGGAGCACTTAGTGTGCAACAAGGTCTGATTCGGAGATTGCCTCGAGCTTTAATGTTGTCTCCACGGGGGAATCAATATCCTCAGTACCACCAATTGCCACCATAACAGGTCCTCAACTTCTCTGCTGATGAATGACATTAAGACAATGTGAAGAGGAGCCAATAAGAGTGCAGCCATGTTAGACAAATGTGTAATTTTCTTTCACAGCACTATCATGGAAAATTAAATCTCTGCAGGATCTATTTTCCCCTCCCCTCTCTTGTCAAGATGCAATTATTTTAAGTACTTTGAATAAACAAGTAGTGCCTGACAAACACTTGTTATTTTTCCAATGATGCGCCTGCCGGCTAGTGCAAAATGTGCCAGAACAGGGTTCTTTACGGGATTGAACATGCTTGCCTGGCACTGCAAAAATAAAGGTTGGCTTTCATGGTGGAAATAAATGATGGCAATGTGTTGTTGTTGTTTTTAAAAAAATATTGCTATTTATATAGAGCAATCAAACGTACACAGCACCTAGTCAAGTTTAAAAAGGGGGTTTTGTGCCACATATTTTGCAAAATAAAAAGGAAGAGGGAAGAGGGAGGGGGGAAAGGAATGTGGCAGCACCTTTAAGACAAACTGGTTTTTATTTTAGCATGAGTTTTCATCGATATAAGCCCACTGCTGTGGATGTAGTACAGAGTAATATATTTTGCAAAAGTAAATTTTAAACAATGAATTTTGCATATATATATATATATATATATATATATACATACACACTTTATGTTTGGATGGTTTCAATATGTCCTGTGTTTATGTGTTTTAACCTATGTTTTAAATGGTTTCATGTATTATAATCTAGACACCCAGCATGGTGCAGTGGTTGCACATTGGACTATGATGCTGGAGACCAGGGTTCAATTCCCACCGCAGCCATGAAATTCACTAGGTGATCTTGGGCAAGTCACATTCTCTCATCCTCAGGGGTAGGCAATGGCAAATCTCTTCTGAACAAATCTTGCCCAGAAAACTCCAGGACAGGTTCATCTAAGGTCATCGTATGTTGGAAACAACTTGAAGGCACACACCAACAAATGTTAATCTATGTTGTATTTCTGTGATTAATTTTTTACCTGCTTCTCCCCAAGGCTCAAGGTGAGTAAGAAACAAAAATTATTATTATTATTAGTAGTAGTAGTAAGTAAGTAAGTAAGGGAGGGATGTTGCTTGTGAATCTGGGGAGGAACAAGAATCCGAATCTGCTGCCATTGGCTTCATGGTGGGTCTGATGCAGATGAGGGGTTGTTGTCTCTCTCTTGGGAAGGACATGATATGTTTTTAAAATGTATTTCCAGATGAGGGGGGCTAATAGACACAGGTTCAGGCGCCATTCGGATGTGGTTCTCTATGTTTTCTCTCTGTTTTCTGAAGTACCCAGGTCTTTACTGTTTGAGAACACACATGTAGCCATTTTAGGAATCCCATTTTGGGAGAAAGCCGAGATATAAATCCCATAAATAAATATAGGGGTGGACACACCTGGATCTTGAAAGCGTGTAGAACATGCGTCAAGAAAAAAAGGCTTCCTGGTCCATTCCCATATGGATCAGTCCACACATTTTCATGGGAGGGGAAAAATAATCCTGAGAGAGAATGGATAAGAACCTACAAAGACCTTAGAGTCATAGGGTGTGTCTAAATGGCAGAATTAAAACAGTTTGAGATCGCTTTAGCTGCCATGATGACTCTATCCTATGGGATCCTGGGATTTGTAGTTTGGTGAGGGCACATCAGCCTGGTCAGTGTGTCCTACTGAACTACAGATCCCAGAGATTCTGTAAGGTAAGAGTTGTGGTCATTAAAATGGATCTTAGTTGGGAAGAATAATGGTTTTTATTAGTTTTTATTTTTAACAGGTTTTTTTATTTTTAAAGTGTTATATTTTAATTTATAAACTCTTTTAACTCTTAAAATTGTTTGATTTTTTAAATTTTATATTTATATATTTTAATGTTGTACTGTTTTTAAAAGTCTATTGTTTTATACTTATTGTCCACTGCCTTGAGTCCCTATATTGCGAGAAAGGTGGGATATAAGAAAATAATAATAATAATAATAATAATAATAATAATGATGAAGGGGGTAATGTTTGAAACTTGGGTCTTGGGAAAGTTACTTTTTCTTTTACTACAGCTCCCAGATTCCCTCATCCTTGGCCAACATGATCAGCAACCATGTTGCCTTGGGATGCTGGGAGCTGTCCATCAAAAAGCAATATTTCTGTGCTCTTGGCAGGTTTTATGTATATGCATCTGGAGGCAAGAGATTATATACAGAACTCCATTCTCCTACTAATTTTTCCATCAAAAAATTGCTGCCTTTTCTCCCAAAGCTCTCTATGTTTCCTCATTTCCTTAGCAGCAGACTTACAGCACATCAAATCATCAAGAGTGAACTGAGTTGTGATTTCTTCTTCTACTAAGTGTCGCTTCTTTCCATTCTCCTTTCTTAGAACTGTGATTTAGGCAATTGTTGATGAGCAAAAAAAGCTTTAAAAGGGATTGAAGGGCAAGTCTTGCAACATGTGGAAGGTGACTATACCCTCTATTTCAGAAATAATATGGGGCTGGGAGCAGTGATGGCTGCTTTTAGTGGTAAATGTGTTAGCATAATAATTTTTTTGAAGAAAGAGACTTTTCAAACATTTGGTGAATCTTGAATCCTTCCTTGCAAATTTCTTTCCGTTCCACCAAGGATATTTGACTTCATTTGTTGTTATTGCCGTTACATCAGTTATTGCTTACTGTGATGCTGTGAATGATTGATATCCCACTTTCAGTCCCATATGGGAGAAAAGTGGGAGAAAAATAAAATAAAATATAAAATAAAATGAATGGGAGGCCTTCAAGAGCCCCAGTTATTAAAAGCCCTGCTCAGGTCTTGCAGACTCAGGGTAGCCATGATTTTCTTGATGGAGACTGTGAATGAAATGTGGCCTTCCTCATACCAGCTTTCCATCTTATTATTTCTGTTTTCCACAATTCAAGCTGCAGTTTGGTTGCTGGCAAAGCAAACCAAGCTACTCATGCGGCTCCATTGCAGCCAGGCAACTAAAATGGTGAAAGGTCTGGAAACTAAGTCCTATGAGGAACAACTTAGAGAGCTGGGGATGTTTAGCCTGGAGAAGAGATGGTTAAGAGGTGATATGATAGCCGTGTTTAAATATTTGAAGGGATGTCATGTCGAGGAGGGAACAAGCTTGTTTTCTGCTGCTCCAGAGGCTAGGACCCAGAACAATGGGTGCAAACTCCAGGAAAAGAGATTCCACCTCAACATTAGGAGGAACTTCCTGACAGTAAGGGCGGTTTGACAGTGGAACACACTCCCTCAGAGAGTGGTGGAGTCTCCTTCCTTGGAGGTCTTTAAGAAGAGGTTGGATGGCCATCTTTCGGGAATTCTTTAAATGGGAGTTCCTGCATGGCAGGGGGTTGGACTGGATGGCCCTTGTGGTCTCTTCCAACTCTATGATTCTATGATTCTATGACATCTGAGATGACATTTCCTTCATTGTCTTCTCCAATGAGGCATGTCATCCCATTATATGTCTAAAGTAAGCCTCAGTTTAGTCATCATGGCTTTGTTACCGCCAATGCCAGGGTCCCAATATTTAATGGGAGAATTGTATTAGGTCATTTCAAGCTGCTGAGAAGGGTTTGGGCAGCTAACAGCAGGGAAGAAGCCTGTGTACAGTTGCCCCTCCATTTTCATGGGGGATCCGTTCTGCCCCATGAAAATGGCAATATTCAAGACCCATAGGGCATGCCATGGACTTGCAACCCATTTTGTCCCCCTCTGTTTCCTGCCCACGAACAGGTGAGGGATGCAGACTTCAAGTCTGTAAATATGTAGGGGCAACTATATATAAGTTCTGAGAAACAGAACTCCAGAATGTAGGGTCCAAATGTAGTTTTATTTGTTTATCAGGGAATCACAATGTACACAAAAGCACACTCTCACTCACACATTTAAGAACTAATGATATAAAGGTGGTAGCAGATAGCTGGTAGCAGACAGCAGTACTAGCAGAAAACCTCACTGACCTGGAGCGCTTACTAAGGAAGATCAAAGAAGAAAACGCAAAAGCAGGCTTAATGTTGAACATAAAGAAAACAAAAATAATGAGC